ACATAATCATTTGCCTAGAGCCCAATAACAGGTGAGATTTCTAGTAAACCGCAGCATCAGGAGTGATTCTGAGCTCTAGTTTGAGTTAGTGTGAGCATAACTGATGATGATGGTCACGGTTACGCTTGTACATGACGGATAAACGGTGTCTTATCTCTCTGCAAGAGCAACATTACACACATTAAAGGATCCCTATTATGCAGAAATCACTTTATAAGAAGCTTAAACCCAGTTGTGTGTGTGTGTGTCAGGAGTGTGTGAATATCTCCAGCCTCTAATGGTGAACAGTAATTCATTGTGTTTGTTCTAATCAGACTTGATGGAAACAGTCTGCAGAAACACTTTGATTGACAGTCTCCCTTTGTACGTGTCATCAGAGGGGGAAAGCTCCGCCCACTAGTGCCCATCTCTCCATCTCATTAGCATAAACAGCAGCCCTGAGTGAGAAGCAGCCATCTGTCCAAAAGCCTTTAGAGTGTATGAACCGCCAACTACTCCAGCATATGTTTTACACAGCAGATGCCCTTCCAGCTGCAACCCAGTACTGGGAAACACCCACACACAATCAGATACTACAGCGAATTTGATTCATCAATTCCCCTATAGCGCATGTGTTTGGACTGTGGGGGAGATCGGAGCACCCGGAGGAAACCCACGCCAACACTGGGAGAACATGCAAACTCCACACAGAAACACCAACTGACCCAGCCGAGACTCAAACCAGCGACCTTCTTGCTGGGAGGTCACAGTGCTAACCACTGAGCCCGAGTGTTGCCCATTAATATTAATTAGTTGTATATTATTACAATTTAAAGTGTTAGATTGGGGTTAGCTGCATGTATCTGTGCATAAATAATTATCATTTCACCAGAACAATCATAAATAGTGACCTTAAAATAAACTACCAAAATAATCAGTAAAGCAATAAAAGAAGCAGTATTAAAAAGCAAGAAAACAAAGATGGCTCTTTAAAACGGACTCAAACACAGAAATAGACCAGCAATTACAAACACTCAATCACCACGTTTTTAATACCGCATTCTAGTTAGACAAAAAAATCTCATGGGTTTAAATGAAGTGGATCATGAATAAATGATATTTTTGCATGAACTATCCCTTTAAACCAGACACAGACGCTCACACACACACACACACACACTCTCACTCACACTCTCACTCACACACACACTCTCTCACTCACACACACACTCTCACACACACACACACACACACACACACACACACACACACACACACACACACACACACACACACACACACACACACACACACACACACACACACACACACACACACACACACACACACACACACACACACACACACACACACACACACACACACACACACACACACACACACACACACACACACGATTTTCATGAATTTCCATTTTGGATTCCTACACAAGGAATTTGAGCATCTGCTTTCTTAAAGCTAAAATAAATACATGTGTACAAACAAACAAACTCAAGACACTTCCAACAAACGATCTGACAGTTACGTTGACAGTATGTTACTCAGTAACCATTAATCCTACCACTGGCATTGATGTATAACCCATGAAAACTATACCAATAATACACATCTGGCAAACTAACTCAGCGCAAACGTTACATTTAGGATGACAAAATGATTTTAGAAGGAGATTGTGCTAATGAAACTAGAAATATTTTATCTGAACATCAACTTGAAGGAAACAAAAAGTGTTTCCTTCAAGAGAACTATAAGCGGGTCAATGATTAACAAGAGCTTTTCCATGAATCAAATCAATACAAAAATCAGCTTTAAATTGTTTTCTTCGCTCAATAACATTAGTGCTGTTTTGTTTATTTCTATGTTTATGACTGTCATTCCTTTTCCTCATGATTTTCAGAACTGTCATTTAGTATAACAATGCCCTCTTGTCAGTCATATTTATTGCAATTAAGTTTTTAATGTGTCATCAAATGATCGTTAATTTAACAATCAGTTTGTCCTCAAAATACTCATTTTGATCTGAAAATGTTATCTATATTGCCTCCATTATTCAAACCACTACTGTTTTGGGGTTTTTTTGACTGATTTTACACAATTTACAACTATAAAGATCTCTTTTGGGACCCACAATAACTAACTTGCCTGCACCGTCACACACTAGTAGCTTTTGTCATGTTTGTTATCCAGAAAACGTTGGAGTTTGCTGACAAATAGAAGTTTTTTCTCTCCATCCTTTAGTGCTGTTTTGTTTATTTCTATTTTTCTGTGACTATCATATAATTTCAGATTGTCATATTGTCATATGATTTCCAGAACTGTCAATGCGTATAATATCATCTAAAACTCGTGTCAGTCTTATTTACTACAAGCATCACTTAAATAACATATTAAAAGCTCAATTCCACAATCAGTTTGTCCTCAAAATGCTTCATAATTTACTGGAATAGTGAAATATTTAATACTTTGCCGCCATTATTCAACCCATGACCAGATTTAACCAATATGTGACAACTACAAAATCTCTTTAGGGAACCAAGTTTGACAAACATCTTTGATGCATGTATATTTTCTCTATAAACACACAGAAAAATAAGCCTACTAAAACTCATCAGCCTGCAGTATTATCTAAGATCTATACAGTAGAATCAGTACGGTGGTTATGTTGACATGTTTGTTATGTAAACGTTGGAGTTTGCTGACAATATATATATATATATATATATATAGGGTTTTTTTATCGCAGACATTAATAATGTTATGTTTATTTCTATTTTTTATGACCGTCATCCATTCTCCTCATGATTTCCAGAAACTTCATTGAGTAAAACAATACCAAAACTCGTGTCAGTCAGATTTAAATGGATCACTTGACAACACATTAAAATCCAATTTAACGGTCAGTCAAAATACTTACAAATTTTTACTTAAATATTT